TTTACCTGAATCCTGCAATATTACTAAATTCTAATAAATTAAATTTTTTAAATGTATCTTATGATTTTCTACACGGACAAGTAGTGTCCGAGACTAGCACAAGTTCTGTTTTACTTCTTATTTTATAATTCTTATGACCTCTTTTCCTCTCTTTTTAGTTTGCTGGAGGACATGTGCACCTGCTGGAAAGAGGCAGAGAAAGAGAAAGAGAGAGAAAGAAAATGACAAAGCACCCTCCATGGAGATGGTCATGCTGCAATCCCTTCTCCTCCATTTCTCCTCTTGGGGTTTGGGCACGCCCTCACACATTCACACGCTCCGTGTGTGTTGTTAAGCTGCTGGGTCAGGAACCTGAATCATGCAGCTAGCCATGTGGGATCTGGCCCTTATTCACCACCACACCACCAGCTGGCCCAACCTTTATTCCTCTTGCCTTTTGCACTGTAGTACTATGTTAAATAGAAGTGGTAAAGACATATAAAACTTCCCTCTTTCCTAATTTTATTTTTGGGAAAAGCATTTTAAAAATCACATAGAGGGAACCAGCAGTTAGCGTAATGGCTATGTCGCTGGACTCCCACGTAGTCGACCGCGGTTCGTGTCCTGGACCCGGTGGCTTAAAACTCACGCCGGGCGCGTGTGCGTGTGTGCCCAAGATCCCGAGAGGAGAATGGAGGAGAAGGGATTGCGGCGTGACCATCCCCCCTGGGGGGGTGATTTCTCGCTTTCTGTCTCTATGTCTCTCTCTGTCTGACTGGTGAGCGCACGCGCCCTACAGTGAAAATCTCTCAAAAAAAATCACATAGATATTATAATATCGTGATAATAATTTGCGGTTTTTCATAGATGCCATTTATTAAATTGAGGGAGCTCCCTTTTATTCATAGTTTGCTGAGAGTGTTTATCACTGTGTATAAAACTTCATCAAATACTTTGCTGTATCCATTGAAATGTCCACATTACTTTTCTTTATTCTGCTATGTAACTAATTAATTGATTATAATTAGAATGTTGAACTAGCCTTGAAAATCTCACCACATACTCGCTGTCGTTAGTGCTTGTCATTCGTTACTAGATTAGAGTTTCCATCAGGTATCACTTTCCTTCAGCCCGAAATATTTTCTTACTATTTCTTGTAGTGCCAGTCTGTAACGGATTATTTTTCTTATTTTATCTGAAGTTGTCTCTATTTTACTCTTTTTTGAGTAAAACAAATTCTATATTTCACTCAAATATTTTAATAGTATTCAAAATTCTGAGTTGACAGTTTATTTGTCCTCTCAGTGCTTTAAGGATGCCATTTCTTTATCTTCACGCCTCCATTGTTTCTGATGAGGAGTTGGTCAACTTTTTAACATGGTTCTCCTATACATAACATGCTGCATTTCTCTCTGCTTTTGTTATTTTCTTTTATAGTTCATGTTCAGTAATTTGACTATGATTTGGCCAATTTTTATATCATTTATAATTATAATATTTGAGTTTTCAGTTCTTTTGCTTGTCCACTGGTGTTTTTGACGAAATTAGTGAGATTTTTAACCATTGTCCCTTCTATGTTTATTTCGTTTGACCATTCTCTCTTTCATTCTCTCTATGTCTTCTTCTTCTGGACTCCAAACACAAGTAAATCAGGTGGGTGGATACCATTTCACAAGTACCTGAAGTTCTGTTTATTGTTTAAATGTTATTTTATCTGCTCTTTAGATTATTAATTTCTACAAATCCCCTTTCACATGCACTCATTCATTTCTCTGTCATCTCTGATCTGCTACTAAGCCCATCCAGCAACTTTTTTTATTTTTGATATTTTGCTTTCCAGTTATAGAATTTCCATTTCCTTATCTGTTATAGTTGCCATTTCTCTGCTGAGATTCTCTATTATCTGTTCAGTCAGTAGGACTATTTCCCTCTAATTTCTCGAACGTATTTCAACAGCTAATTTAAAGTCCTTTGTGATAATTCCAACATCTGCATCATCTCAAGCCCTGTTTATGTTGACTGCTTCTTTAAAACTTGAGTCTGACTCATATTCACGTACATATCTATGTGTATAATGAATATTTATTGTCTATTGGACACTATGAATGATACAAAGTACAGAAAGAGTATTTCTTCTTTTTAAAATAAGGGCAGAGTTAGTTCTACCAGACAGTTAATTACTGTACAATTTTGTTGAGTCTCGGTTTCAGCTTTTTTTTTTTTTTTTGGTTGTCTAGAACAGAATATAAGCAGTTCCTTTCCCCCAAAGTATGGCTTTTTCAGTGTCTCAGCCACATTCTCAAGGTATTTATTGAGGTCTTTCCACTCTGGTCTCTACTGTCCTAGCAACATGTGACCTCTAGTATCTTTGCTTCACTTTCAGTTCCATGTCAGTTACTTTCTGCCTGTTTTCATGAAGTCTCACCTTTTACATGTACAGTTCCACCTTTGACCAGGTTCCTGTGAGTAACTCCCCATAGAGTTTCAGGTAGCACCGTCTTCTTCAGTACTTTGCTGACTATTTTCTGACCACTTAATCAGTTCTCAACTGAAATTTTTGTCTCTTCTGCACAGCATAACTGCCCTGTTTATGTTTCTCTTTCTTGTGCTATATTCAGGAAATTGTCTCCACGCCGACATTAAGGCTTTTCTGGGCTATTTCCTTTAGTTAGAGATTGTACTTCAGTTCTTCTGATTGTCCAATATCCAAAAAAATAAAATAGTCTCACTGCATATATTTTGCCCAGCTTTATAGTTATTATGAAAGAGTACTCTGTCATGACCAGAAGCCCAACTTTGGTAGAACTAAACTTCTGAAAGTTATTCCTAAAAACATTGGTTTTCAAACTTTAGCATATTTAAGAATTGTCCAAAGGCTTGCTAACACACAGATCATTAGGCCTTACCCTTTGAAGTTTCTGATGCTGTTGGATGAGGTAGGACCCAAGAACATGCATTTCTTTTTTTTTCTTTAAGAATGATTTTTATTTAATTTAATTTATTTATTTACTTTAATTTGATGAAAGAGAGAGAGGGAGAGAGAGAGAGAAAGCAAGCTGCTAGGTCTGAGACTCGAACCATGGTCAACCATGTGGGAGACCAGCACCCTTAATCACCATGCCACCTGCTGGTTCCCCAAGAACATGCATTTCTAAAACGTGTTCAGGTGATGCTAACACTGCTGGACTGTGAACTACACTTTGAAAACCACTTTTTTAGAAGGCAAATTTTGAAAAGAATACATTGAAACTTTACTTAAGGCTTAATACTACATTTTGCTCTTTTTTTTGGTCCTATGTCCTGCGTAATAGACTTATATTTCAGTTGGTTTACTATAGTGCGAGGCATCTTACTCTTTTAAAAGGAAGTGTGCCTCTTCTAAAAGATGAAGTTGTTATTGTATTGTAAGGATATATTCTTTATTTAATTGATAGTCAAAGCCAGAGAATATGAGAGAGAATACGTATAAATAAAAATGAGCTCTTTTATTTCTTTTTTTATTTTAGAATTATTTTCTTTATTTGATTTATCATTTTTATTATTTTTTTAATTGAACCAGAGTGAGACACAGAGAGAGAGAGAGAAAGTGGCAAAGCAAGCCGCCAGTCATCCCTAACCATCACACCACCTGCGGCCCCTTTTTTTCTTTCTGTTTTTTTATTCCTGCTCAAACAAAATTGACTCTTTTATCCAGACATGAAACTTCTAGAATGTAGAATTTATAACATTTAAGAACTAAGTTTTGATTTTTATTTTAGATATTGGGTTTATTTATTTATTTATTTATTTTGGAGAGGTTTTTGCTATGGGGCGCGTGCGCTCGCCAGACAGACAGAGAGAGACATAGGACAGAATGCGAGAAATCACCCCCCATGGGGGATGGTCATGCCGCAATCCCTTCTCCTCCATTCTCCTCTTGGGATCCTGGGCACGCACGCACACGCGCCTGGCCTGAGTTTTAAGCCACCGGGTCCGGGACACGAACCGCAGTCGATTACGTGGGAGTCCAGCGACATAGCCATTACGCTAACTGCTGGTTCCCTATTTCATTATTTTTAAAATGCCTATCTCCAAGATATATGTGTATGTGTGTTTTATATAAGCTGAAAAACACTGGCTGTATTTGGACCTTGATCAGTAAGATTGCTAGACCCAAGTCCTACTCTTTCTTGGAAGATTTCCTGTTAGCTTATTGATGTAACTTGTCCTTTAGTAGCTATTAAGATAACTTATGGGATACGGAAACGGTTTATTACCTGTTGATGATAACGTGTATAGAATTCTGGACTGGACTTGTCTGAGGTAATTTTCATTTTGGATAAATTCTTTTTACAAGTCAAATGATGTATAGTGATAGAATGTTTTTAAAAATAGGAAAAATAAAAAGTAAAATTTTAAAAAGCACAAAAAAGAAAGAAAATTGAAAAACATAAAACAAGATATCTGTGTATAATCCACCTATTCCTGTAGCAGATCTCATCTGCTCTCTTGCCCTCCTTATTTAGACAGGTCTCTTATCTCCTCATTTGTGAGGATTTAGGAATTTAGAGCTTCTTCCTACTGTATTCCATGAGTTTTCCATCAGTGTAAGTCTTATACCATGTCCAGTAAATGACCCATGTGGACGATGTTTATATGTTTTTTGCAATAACAGCCAGGACAATCGCCCAGGTTGTTGTAATGACAACCTGGACAGTTGCCCAGGACGAGAAGTACCTTCTCCACACGTTATAGTATTTGTCTTAATCAAGAAATGGATTGATCTTCCTTTTCAAATTCTAATAAATCTCTGACAAATTTTACATCTACCAACATCTTTGAAGTCTTTGAAAAAATGGTACAATAGCATTTGGAGACTAGATTAAAAAGTCACAAGATAGGGCATTTTAAATAGTGTTTCAGCTGCAAGTGTGATTAAAATAATTTCAGTCAGCCTCAAAGATCTGTTTTCAAATGTTCTGAGATAAGGATGGTAACATAATAATTACTGATTACTAATCACACAAAACTTATTTGCACAGGTCCATTTTGATGGTTGGGACCATAAGTATGACTACTGGATGGATGCGGACAGCCCTGACATCCACCCAATTGGATGGTGTGATGTAACAGGGCATCCACTGGAAGTGCCATACCGTGAGTATTTTGTTCTTTGTTGTTGCTTTTTAAATATTTAGCCTAAATTCCAGGTTTAATAATGCTTGTTTATGTCATCATATCATTTTAGGCATTTGAATGCTAAATATCAGATAGATGAGTTAATTAATCATCACTACAGCTACAGTGAAAGCCAGTAATTCACAATTAAACCTCAAAGGATATGCTTTATATGAATGAAAAGAAATCATCTTTAAGAAATTATTTTGGTAGTGTTTCCCAAAGAAATACTTGTTTTCTACATTTTAATTTGGAAAACTAAGCCAGCGTTTCTAAATCCATCTATCTTTTAGATGAAGTCAGTTTTTTTTTTTTTGTTTTTTTTGTTTTTTTTTTAAGATTTATCTTAAGTTTATTTTCTGGAATAGTCTATAAAAATTTTAGGAAAAAAGCATTTTGAAATATTTTAAATTTCATCATTTTAAAAATAATTTTGTTGTAAGCATTTGAAAATCTCTCTGTTTTAAGCGTTTCTAAATCCATCTATCTTTTAGATGAAGTCAGTTTTTTTTTTTTGTTTTTTTTGTTTTTTTTTTAAGATTTATCTTAAGTTTATTTTCTGGAATAGTCTATAAAAATTTTAGGAAAAAAGCATTTTGAAATATTTTAAATTTCATCATTTTAAAAATAATTTTGTTGTAAGCATTTGAAAATCTCTCTGTTTTATTAGTATCTTCGTTATTTCTATCGTCTTAGAAACTTAAAGTTAAGAAGGAAATTAACCACTCTAAATTCTAATGAGCCTTGAACCAAAATATCTTATTCTTTTGTCTGAAGGAGTCCTCTGATCTGATTAGGCTGACATGACTAATTACTAGTTCTAGACATAGTGCAAATGTTCTCCATTCTTAGGTTTGTTTTGTTCCCTCGCAGCTTCTGTTTCCCTCCCTCTGGGTTCTTGGGAGGAAACTAGAATGCTACTCCGTTAATGAGCATGTCTTATATTGGGCCAGCCTAATGATGCTTGAACCTTAGACCTAAGAGGACTAACTGTGTCTTTGAAAGAATTCCATAACTTCTTATAAAAGTGAGAGGAATCCCTGACTAAATAATCTGACCACAGTTCTACATTTGCTAAAGTCTTCAAAAACTACAAAGTCACTAAGGGGCAGGTCCTAAAAGAACTCATAGTGCATTGGTATCTGTACATAAGGAATATAAAAACAGGGACAACCATGGTCACCCCTCTGGGGAGTGCGGGAGAATTCCGTGTAGGAAAAAATATGCCATCTCTGCTTTGTGGTCTTCTCTAATCTCTCTTCTTATTTTCCCTGATTTTACACTGTGGCATGCCAGTGAGATAGTTGTTGCTTTATGTTAATCACTGCACCTCCAGTACCCACGCCCAATCCATCCCTCATCAAAAATTACCTCACATAGCAACAACTTCAACGAGTCAGGGATGACAGCACTGTAGGTATAGGAACCTTCACTCTTCTCATCCATTGTCTGCTCTTTTGTCCAGCTGCTCTCCTGTCTTTTCTACTTGCATGTCTTACAAGCACCCCTAAGTGTACATCAAACTCGAACACCATCTCAAGAAAAAACCTTGCTCTTTCTAGTAATTCCTATTTATTTCCTAAGATCCTACTTCTTATTGCAGCCATTGCAATCTCTGCGGCTTCCTTGCCACATATAACCAGTCATCAAGTCCTGCTGATTCTTTCTTAATTCCTCCAGAATCCCACCCTTACCCCCACTTCCCCTTCTTAAAGTCAATGCAGTTTTTGAGCTCTCATCATAATCACCAGTGAATTTCAGCATGTTGTCTACAGTCTAGCAGTGAGTGGCAAAAGTCCTCCCAATGAGCCTGGGATGAATATACAAAGGGACATTCTAGAGACAATATAATAGATGCCAATGGTTAAAACTGTGAAAACAAGTCAAGGTGCTTAGGTATGAATGTCAGTTTTGTACTTGCTGGGTTGTATATTTCTCTGACCCTAAGTTTACTTATCTGTAAAATACAGATGATATTAGAATCTATCTCATAAATAAATGTATAATAATGAAATTAGAATAATGTATATGTAGCACTTCAAAATGGGCCTGGACCTATAGTATGTGCTCAATTAATGTTAGCTTCTATTAGGAAACAACCCATAGATTTTCATTATTACATAAAAATATTTAAATGTATTAAATTACAAATTTGAAATGGAGCTAAAATGAAGGTAGTTGGAGTTTCCCACATACTTTCATTCCATTTGTTACTAAGAAGGTTTCTGTGTTGTTGATAGTATTGCAAGGTTTCTAATTTGTGTACTCATACTCAGATAATTAGAATCTCTGGAGTTTGAGGGAAAGACAACTTAAAATAGACTGCCTTTGGTTGGTGATTTTCTATTGCTTCCATGCTTGTGTGTTTCGTTACAAATTTGCTTTAGATTATTCATTATTAATATGGCTTATTTGTGTTGTTTAATCCTATTGTTAAAATTATGGGGAACAGCAGTTAGTGTAATGACTATGTTGCTGAACTCTCATGTAGCCGACTGTGTTTCAAGTCCTGGACCCAGTGGCTTAAAATTACACCGGGCGCGTGTGCGTGCATGCCCAAGATCCCAAGAGGAGAATGGAGGAGAAAGGATTGCGGCGTGGCCATCCCTCCTGGGGTGTGATTTCTTGCTTTCTATCTCTCTGTCTCTCTCTGTCTTTCTGGTGAGCACACGCACCCTATAGCAAAACCTCTACCAAAAAAAAAAAAATGCAGTCTGTTTCATAAGTATTTATGTCCAATTGATTTTCAGAAACCTAGACTTTAAGACATGTATGTGATTTCGTTCAATATGTATCATTGGTGCCCCTATTGTAAAAGCAAACACACACATACTCACACAAGCAATTCTGCTCCAACACTGGTTCTGTTGTTTGTCACTGAATCCTTTTTCTACTGGAATATAGAAACCAATAGTTGGTGCAGGTATTACAGAAAAACGAAGTTCAAGAGTCTAGCATTGGCTATTGCAATGACTTCATAACTATCTTTTTTCCATTTTTACTCCCTAAGATAGTCTGTGTAAATCTCAAAACTCACCTCATATCTTCATTCTTTTTTTTTTTTTGGAGAGGTTTTTTGCTATAGGACGCGTGCGCTCGCCAGACAGAGACACACAGAGAGACAGAAAGCGAGAAATCACCCCCCGGGGAGATGGTGACACTGCAATCCCTTCTCCTCCATTCTCCTCTCGGGATCTTGGGTACGCCCGCACACGGCCCGGCATGAGTTTTAAGCCACCGGGTCTGGGACGCAAACCACGGTCGACTACGTGGGAGTCCAGCGACACAGACATTACGCTAACTGCTGGTTCCCTCATATCCTCATTCTCAAAATTCTTCATTGGTACTCAGTATTCTATAGGCTCTAGATTCCTTTGCATGTACACAAGAGCCTTCATCATCTGTACTTTACTTACCTTCATATGTAATCTTCTACCATTTTCTTCAAAAAAATCTTCACTTATACCAATCAGATTTACTCATAGTTCCTTGAATATTTGCCTGCTAAGATGCCTAATAAAATATATCACCCTTCTATAGTTTTCCTCTGCATTTTGGAAATGCTGTTGAACAAGGGGGTCTCACATTTTGCCTTTCTTTAGAGAAAGAGAATACCTCCTGGGTTAGTGTCAGATGTTTATGTGAGAAAAGTGAGAAAGAGTACTTGCTCTGCAGTATGAATTATGTGTAGCATCTTGACTGTTACTCTGTATTTTATGAGTGATATTGTACAAACAACTACATCAAATCACTTTTTATTTTCTAGTGCTATCATAAGTCGAAGTGTTAATTTTCTTTACTGATATAATTCAAACTAAACTTTTCTTGCTATACTGTCCAGTAGGTTTGATAATAATTAGATTTTTGTAAATTACATAAACCACATCTGTATTTTATTATATGTGAAGATATAAAGCTATGTGGCCAATATTAGTTTAGTTTTTCAGATATTTTGAAGATACTTTCAGATAGGTTAGCTTCAGATTTTTGTACCCTATTGTTCTATTTTTGTTGTATTAGCATAACTCAGCAGTTTTTTAACATGATAATTTTACTGACCAAACATCCTAAAGACTATTAAAAGTTTAGGGTTTGGGAAAACAATCTTAAAGATCATTTAATCTACCCTATTATTTTATGGAGGAGAAAACTGACTTGAACTTTATCTATTTTACTGATTCGCTTTAATAAATTTTTACAAAAAGTATCACAGTATACTAGTGATATTATGTGAAAATAAGAATTATCAAATGTACACACATAGATGCAACACACGTTACACCAAAAAAAGAGTTATCAAAGGAAATATGAGGTAGGTTTACAGTCTACCATTCTCATTTATTTTTCTTTATGAATATTTTCTCCTTTGCCAACATTTTTTAACTAGTAGTATAATAAATGCCTTGAAAATGAGAGAAGAAAAGTGCATGTATGTAAAATATAGACTTGCATATATGTATTATAATTTGTGCATTTGTATGTGTAAGTTTTATTTCTTCGAAGAGAGTTGTCAAAATATGTCTGAAGAGGCTGCAGTTTACGAATGTATGAAATAGAATAAAATCACACAGTTGCCTATGAATGAGTAAAAACTCAGTTTAAATTTGTCATATGTTATTGGTGTATTGGATGCCATAGGTGGAGTTAGTCCAGCAGGCCTCCTAAAAAGTGTTGAGCAAGGTGCCCATGAATATGATGGACCTGGACTGGTGCTAGTCTCTCTAGAGACAGAAGTGGCTCACACATCAGCAAAAATAGAACTTGGTACTTCTCCGACAAATTTTATTAGAATTCATTAAAATTACAGATCTTTCTAAATAAGTGATAGCTACTTTAGTTTGTTTCTATATTTCTCTTTTTATTAAAAAAATCTTTAATAAAGACTTTTACATGTCATGTATTTAATGGAAAACAATTAAGTTTATGTAAACAGTCTAGTCAACAAAATTTTATCTTTCAGATCATGTAATTTTTCTTCA